ATGGTATGCCAAATCAATGGGCCAGATTACTGCAAACATTCAATATTAGTGTAACTGTGCTATGTGTAGAATGATATGCGTATTACAAATTTGTATTTGAATTGAAAGGATATGCCAGATCAATGGGCCAGATAACAGCAAATATCCAATATTAGTGTAACTGTGTTATGTGTAAAATGATACGTGTATTACAAATCTGTATTTGAATTGACATGGTATGCCGGATCAATGGACCAGATAACTGCAAACATCCAATATTAGTGTAACTGTGCTATGTGTAGAATGATATGTGTATTACAAATCTGTTTTTGAATTGACAGGGTATGCCGGATCAATGGGCCAGATTACTGCAAACATCCAATATTAGTGTGACAGAGCAAAAAAAGAACCCGCAAGCTGTCTTAGATGTTTTGAAATTTTATGATTCTTCCAATACAAAGGATCAGGATCAGAAGTTTATGACTGTATCAAAAGCAACTCTTGTTCGTAAGTTTTCGACATTTACTTTTAAATTATTTTATTTTTATTTGTTAAAACAGGCCTCCTAACTCCCAAGCATAGTACCATGGGATACTATTGTTCTTGTTGTTGTGAACAAATCTATTGTCATAGTTTTTTAATCTAGTCAGAAAATATGATCTGACAACATCAAGCTTGAATGCACGTTTTCTGCTTGGTATATTTATTTGTGATCCTGTGTGATAAAATGCTTTGTCTGTTTGTCCTTCTAGCTGTGTGATTAAGTCCAATGCTCCACTGAGCCCTCGTTATTTTAATGTCCTGTGTGATTTTCATCACATGCCATGCATATATAATTGATTTTATTTATATTATCACAGCCTCCAGTAAACCAAGTTTAGCTGATACATTTAACACACAAGCTGTCATCACACCTGTAAGTAGCCTCAGAATTTCAGTTCACGAATCATGATAAACCCAATACTTTTACATTCAGAACTTTATGATCCTAATTACAAGCAACCATAAACTAGACCATTTAGGATGATGTTATTCATCCGTATTCTATACCAATGACAGTATTACGTATTTGTAACAGAAAAAACACTGAAATTTGCATAGTATTGTATTGATTCATTATGACCACATATCTGTAGTTTCCATGGTAACACTGAACACTATATTTATAATTTTAGAAGTTCAAGCCTCCTGATATTCCTGTAGTACCTGACAATGAGGAAGAGGACAGCGAGAATGCCAAACCACCAGTTATTGCACCACGGCCGGATTATACTAAATCAAAGGTATTGTAAATAAAAATAGTTTGAATAATAAGCAGTTTGGATGTAAACGAAAATGTCTGTCCCAATGTTTCAGTTCATTATGAAAAAAAAGTGACTGACATAATGATGTCATCATGCCATTATACTGTAAATGCAATAAGTATTCACTGGGTTTTAATTTTTCTGTTTTTGCTGTTACGTCAGATACACTAAATCAAATTGATATGAACATGTAAAACAGAATTCATTGTCTCGATAGCGAATCCATGAATTTTAAACCCTGTCATTATACTCAGAATTGTGAGAACAAAAACTTTGAAAATGAATGACCAATCAATCAGGATTTAACTATTTTTTTCCTATTTCATGTTTAGTTGTATACCCGGTCGATGATAGACACACAACCTCAACCGGAGCCTTCTGGTCAAGACGCTGCATCTGCTAACGGCACAGCCCAGGCAGCTGGGGATAAAACCAAAACAGAAAAACCCAAGAAAAAGAAAATGACTGATGAAGAAATTCTTGAAAAATTACGTACGTATGAAGACATTGTTTGATTACATACCGGGTTTACCTAGAGTAAACAATATATAGCTCACTTAGCATAACAATGAAACATCATAGGTGATTAACATATTAAATTGTTATGTAAATTAGCAAAACACTGTTATTTTCTAGGGAAATTTATAAATGATGCTGTATTAAAAACTTCTGCTTCAGTCACTAAAACTACTCTGTTTCCTTGAAATTCTTGTGATGCAAATGACAGTACATTGCTCTTTCATTCATTTCAGGTACTATTGTTAGTGTTGGTGATCCAAATAGAAAATATAATCGATTTGAAAAGATTGGACAGGGTGCCTCAGGAACTGTATATACTGCAATTGACATAGCCACAGGGCAGGAGGTAAGGGACAAATCATCTATCTGTATTTAATGAGTCCCCCCCTCAATTCTGATGAATATTGATCTCTAGTGTTGGCTTGTTCTATTTAGTATTTGTTACGTTCATTAATAAATTGAATAAATAAACTGGAATAAATATATGTCTTAGATAAACTGAAAATGAACAAAACCTCTTCTCTACCATAATGTTTAGTGTGCTAAATTCAGTTTTTAGTTCTGTTCAGCATAAAGATCATTTCAATATTTCAGTTTACAGAGAATTGCTTTGCTAGGTCATCTTGTGATTGTTTTATATGTTTGTATATTGATTTAAATACTGTACCTGAGAAGACTTTGAATGATTGAGGTGACTTCACCTCTATTGACTAAAATTTGATGCAGACTTTTTTTTACCTTTTCTATATATAAAACCTATATGTTATGTCTGTTTTCTAGGTAGCAATTAAACAGATGAATCTTCAACAACAACCAAAGAAAGAATTGATTATTAATGAAATCCTAGTAATGAGAGAGAATAAAAACCCTAATATAGTCAACTATCTGGATAGCTACCTTGTGAAAGATGAACTTTGGGTGAGTATTTACAC